GTGTGTGTGTGTGTGTGTGTGTGTGAGTGAGTGTGATCATATCCTCAACTCCACTTTCCTGCCTTTTCCCAATAATCCTCGATTCCCTCACAGATTAACCATCAGGTCTGTCTTAATTTTGGATTTCCTGTGTGCCCCAGCTTGGACTGTTCTGTGTGGTAAAGCATTCACAGATTCACTCTCCTCTGGGGGAAAAGACATTTCTCTCATCTCTCTCTCTCGAATAGGTGACTACTCATTTTGATATGATGCCCTCTGGTCCTAGACACTGCTATAAGGGGAAACAACCTCTCCACATCTCCACTGTTGTGTCCTCTGAGAGTCTCATAAGGTCACCTCTCACCTTCTAAACTCCAGTGTGTACAGGCTCCATCTACCCAACCTCACCTCATAGGACAGTCCCTCTATACCCGGGATCAGCCGACTGAACCTCCTCTAGACTGTCTCCAAAACCAGTCTATCTTTCCTTCTTCTTCCATTCATTACTCGCTCCTCTCAGAGAGGGTAGTGAATCTGAGGAATTCTTTACTACAGAGGGCTTTCGAGGCTGGGCCATTCAGTACATTCAAGGCTGTGACAGATTTTCAATCAGTAAGGGAATTAACGGTTAAGGGGAAAAGGCAGGAAAGTGAAGTTGAGGATGATGGAGCAGATATGATGGGCTGAGTGGCCATCTTTTGCTGCTACATCTTATGGTGTATTGGAATCTTCCTCGAATCTAGGGAGATTTGAAAAATTGAAACCAACTACCGCACTGGCCACACCTATCAGGACCTGAGCGCTTGTTCACTCACAATTCCAACTGTTTCCTCAGATCACCCTCTGTGCTGATTGTGCTGTTTTTGAGTTCCTCCATTTCCTGATTTCCAGCTGTTTCTGGCCTGTTACTTGTACCCTTTTGCACTGAAAACCAAAGCACAGAGGGTGGTGGGTGCCTGGAACTCACTGCTGGGGAGGTAGTGGAAGCAGATACCATAGTGACTTTTAAAGGGTGTCTTGACAAATACATAAATAGGATGGGAATAGAGGGAAATGGTCCCCAGAAGGGTAGGGGGTTTTAGTTGTGACGGGCAGCATGTCAGTGCAGGCTTGGAGGGCCGAAGGGCCTGATCCTGTGCTGTAATTTTCTTTGTTCCTTGTTCTTTGTATACTGTGCTCAGTCCATGTGCCATCCCCTTATTCTCCAGCGTCAGTTCCCCAAACTCCACCTCCTGGAGGAACAATACTCATTTGTGAAACCTTTCCTCAGTTAACTCTTAGCTGTTAAAAATATTTATAGACACTCTAATGATCTACTTTTATGTTTCTTGTTAGCTTTCTCTTGTACTCGTTTTGTTTGCTTGTTATTAATCTTTTAGTCATTCTCTTTGCTGTATTTTAGACTCTGTCCTGTCCTTCATATGCATTTTATCTTTATTGTATGTTATTTTTTACCTTGTGTTTGATGTCTTTATATAAATTACTAATTCCCCAGACTCTTGCACTCTGCCTGTGACTATAGTCAAATGACATTTCCCTAATTGAAATTGGAACATTTGCTCAGTCTGGACTCAAGGGTCAGAGTGAGGGTCCCATGCATTGTCAAGGATCAGTTCTGTTTGTTTATTCCAGGAAAGGGAAATCACAGCGATGATGGATGAATGGCCTCTCTCAGTACTGGTGCTGTTGCTTTGTATGCTGCAGTATGCCACTAAATCTGTTCCCAGAGTCTGACTAAATTTAAGCCATGTGTGTTTGACAAGGATTAACTGACATATTTGTAGTGAAGGTTAGACATTAAAAATAGTTGGAACTAATTGGCAGCGCTCATTTTAATGTTAACCAGATGGGGGATTCAGTAGCTGGTTTAAATATGTGGTTTCACAGTGAAACGTTCATGCGGAGAAACCAGACTTCAACACTGATCTTACATCCAAGGATATGCCATAATAAACCCAAAAACAAAATCTTTAATCAGTAATTATGGTGACTATGGGAAGATCCCCTGTTGATTTGGTGATTTTTAGAGTCTCTCACAGAGATTTGATGACTGTGGGAGGTTCTGTCAGTGATTTGGTGACTGTGCGAGAGTCTCCTGGTGATGTGTGCACTGTGGGATGATCTCCTTGGTGATTTAGGGACTGTGGGGAGCTCTCGTGGTGATTTGGTGACTGTGGGAGTCTTGCTTGGTGATTTGGTGAATGCAGGAGGCTCCCTTCGTGATTTGGTGACTGTGGGGGACACTCAGGCTGATTTGGTGACTGTGGGGTCTCTCACGGTGATTTGGTGACTGTGGGGGACTCTCACTGTGATTTGGTGACTGTGGGGGACTCTCACTGTGATTTGGTGACTGTGGGGGACTCTCACTGTGATTTGGTGACTGTGGGGGACTCTCACGGTGATTTGGTGACTGTGGGGGACTCTCATGGTGATGTGGTACCTTGTTTGGTGCTCAGGCCTTGGTGTTGACCAGGTTAGTGATGTGACATGTATTTGGAATAGTCGGTTAGATTAGTGAGTGTTTTTGATGACTGGTGACAGCAGGAATTCAGTGAGCTGCTGTCACTCTTTCCTGTTGGCTATAGTCGGTGTTTCCGGTGAGCTGTGAGTCAGTGCTGTGATGTGGGGAGTTACCGATTTCCCCGCCACGCTGTCTGGGTGTGGTTCGGATCAACAAATGCTGCTTGAACTGGGCTATCTGCCTTATCGGAGGCACCAGGCTGGGTCAGCTCACATTCCTCAAACATCATTAAACTACAAGGAATTTCACAACATCCTGACTCACTTTGGGAGCAAATTCCAACTGTTCAAAAGGCAAAAGCTGAAAGATTAAAATTCCTTATAAACAAGCAACAAAGAGAAGGCCATTCAGCCTGCTCCACTGTTGGATAAAACCATTGCCATGCTGATTTTAAACTCAACACTACATTCCTGTATACCCACAGTAATTGCTCATCCCCTCAATCATCAACAATCTCTCCACCTCTGCCTTCAATCTGTGGAAAATTTCTGCTCCCACTCCTTTGCAGAAGGGAATTCCAAAGACTTTAATTCCTCGGAGAGAAAAACATTTCCACATCTCCCCCTTATTTTTAAACTAAGGCCCACACAGAGAATACTGAGGGAGGGTTTCCCCAAACCAGAATGGGGATAGTGCCCCTGGCATCAACACTTAAACTGCCCCATTGCCCCCAGTGTCTGAGCCCTAATGGGGGCTTTGCCCTGAACAGGGAGAAACCATTCACACCACCAATCAGTAGAGAAAAAGATGGCATTAAATTAACGTAATTAATGAGGATCAGGAACGTACTGCCTGAGAGTGTGGGGGAGGGAGGGTCACTTGAGTGAACATAAGAACGAAGAACAAAGAAAATTACAGCACAGGAACAGGCCCTTTGGCCCTCCAAGCCTGCGCCGATCCAAACCCTCTATCTAAACCTGTCACCTATTTTCCAAGGATCTGTATCCCTCTGCTCCCTGCCCATTCATGTATCTGTCTAGATGCATCTTAAATGATGCTATCGTGCCCGCCTCTACCACCTCCGCTGGCAATGTGTTCCAGGCATCCACCACCCTCTGCGTAAAGAATTTTCCATGCATATCTCCCTTAAACTTTTCCCCTCTCACCTTGAGATCGTGACCCCTAGTAATTGAGTCCCCCACTCTGGGAAAAAGCTTCTTGCTATCCACCCTGTCTATACCTCTCATGATATTGTAGACCTCAATCAGGTCCCCCCTCAACCTCCGTCTTTCTAATGTAAATAAGCCTAATCTACTCAACCTCTCTTCATAGCTAGCGCCCTCCATACCAGGCAACATCCTGGTGAACCTCCTCTGCACCCTCTCCAAAGCATCCACATCCTTTTGGTAATGTGGCAACCAGAACTGTACACAGTATTCCAAATGTGGTAGAACCAAAGTCCTATACAACTGTAACATGACCTGCCAACTCTTGTACTCAATACCCCGTCCGATGAATGAAAGCATGCTGCATGCCTTCTTGACCACTCTATCCACCTGCGTTGCCACCTTCAGGGTACAATGGACCTGAACACCCAGATCTCTCTGTGCATCAATTTTCCCCAGGCCTTTTCCATTTACCGTATAGTTCGCTCTTGAATTGGATCTTCCAAAATGCATCACCCCGCATTTGCCTGGATTGAACTCCATCTGCCATTTCTCCGCCCAACTCTCCAATCTATCTATATTCTGCTGCATTCTCCGACAGACCCCTTCACTATCTGCTACTCCACCAATCTTAGTGTCATCTGCAAACTTGCTAATCAGACCATCTGTACCTTCCTCCAGATCATTTATGTATATCACAAACAACAGTGGTCCCGACACGGATCCCTGTGGAACACCACTGTTCACAGTTCTCCATTTTGAGAAACTCCCTTCCATTACAACGCTCTGTCTCCTGTTGCCCAGCCAGTTCTCTATCCATCTAGCTAGTACACCCTGGACCCCATGTGACTTCACTTTCTCCATCAGCCTACCATGGGGAACCTTATCAAACGCCTTACTGAATAACATGTAAATGACATCTACAGCCTTCCTTCATCTGTCAACTTTGTCACTTCCTCAAAGAATTCTATCAAGTTGGTAAGACATGACCTTCCCTGCACAAAACCATGCTGCCTATCACTAATAAGCCCATTTTCTTCCAAATGTAAATAGATCCTATCCCTCAGTATCTTCTCCAGCAGCTTCCCCACCACTGACGTCAGGCTCACCGGTCTATAATTACCTGGATTATCCTCGCTACCCTTCTTAAACAAGGGGACAACATTAGCAATTCTCCAGTCCTCCGGGACCTCACCCATGCGCAAGAATGCTGCAAAGATATCTGTTAAGGCCCCAGCTATTTCCTGTGTCGCTTCCCTCAGTAACCTGGGATAGATCCCATCCGGACCTGGGGACTTGTCCACCCTAATGCCTTTTAGAATACCCAACACTTCCCCCCTCCTTCTGCCGACTTGACCTACAGTAATCAAATATCTATCCCTAATCTCAACATCCGTCATGTCCCTCTCCTCGGTGAATACCGACGCAAAGTACTCATTAAGAATCTCACTCATTTTCTCTGACTCCTCGCATAACTTCCCTCCTTTGTCCTTGAGTGGGCCAACCCTTTCTCTCGTTCGCCTCTTGCTGTGTGGGGGAGGCAGGTTCACTCATGAGGGTAGGGTCTGGAATGTACTGTCTGAGAGTGTGGGGGAGGCAGGTTCAGTTGAAGCCATGGAAAGGGAGTTTGATTGTATGTAAAACATTAGCTTATGCAGGGTTACAGTGTGAATGGTACAGACTGGATTGCACATTTGGAGCTGGGCTGAGCTGACACTGGAATAATTTTGTGGTTCTGTGCAGTTCCTCATTCTGACAACCAGGGAGCTCCCTCCAGCCACTCAAAGTGATTCCTAACCAGCCTGCTTTTTTCGAAACAAACACTGGCAAACACAGTGCAAGGTTTAAGAGGAGACCATTCAGGCCCTTGCCCCTGCGATACCATTCACTGACACCGTGGCTGGCTCTCAGCTGCACTTTCCCTCCTGTCCCTGATGGGGTTTGACTCCCTCGTTAGTTAAACATTTATCCACCTTGACCTTCAAAATACTCAATGAAGGAACACCACCACTGTCTGAGAATGTACTCTGCAGACTCCCCACTGTCTGAGAAACAAGTAAATCTTCCTTCTCACCGTCTCTGAGGGAGACCCCTCCAAGTTAAATTGTGTCTTTGAGTTCCAGAATCTTACGCACACACACACAGGATTGGCAAAGGGCTATGGGGAGAGAGCGGCGGCAATGGGATTAGTTTGGGGATTGATACAGGGATATGGGGAGAGCAGGGCA